AGAATATTGTCTCCTCGACACTCTTTATATCCAACTACTTCCATAGACTTTATACATCAATCAAAACAAGCTTTTGTGAATCTTTTAATATATAAAAGGCTTTTTTCAATCTACACATGCAATTCTTTTTTAAAAAACTATCAAATCATGATGGTAGATTCATATAGGCCTCTTCTTTGACATCGCAGTGAGAAAAAAAAATTATATCATATTATTTTATAGGCCGCCCATAATTTGTTGCCAGGGTTATCAGAATATGAATATTATTCATTTTTTGTAACATGAGCAAAATTTTCTTGATAATCAACTCCATTTTTAATAACATGAGCAAAGATTTCTTGATATGCTAGAGTATATCATTTTACTATCAATCTTATTTTATTCATTTTTAGACTCCCATCTACTTTGTTTTTTTATCGTGGAAATTCATTTGATTCTATTATATTCTTTCCTCGTGGTAATTCAATGATCTCTCATGTATGATTTTTTTTAAGAAAACCAGCTCTTCACTCATGACTTCTTTCCCCTTTTTATTTTCAAGTGTCTCAAATAGAATTTGTGTATCTTTTAATTCATAAATTAGTGCATCTCATCTTTTTCTTTTTTATTGCTTGGATTTCTTTCTTGGTTTTTATTTTCGAATCTTCTCCAAGCATCATTCTCTAGTATCAAACACTACCTAACTTGCCCTAAATGTAGAAAATAAGTAACAGGAAAAAAACTTTCAAGAATCTCATTCATATCTTTGTATGAGATGGGAGGTATATATAAAACTATCAGAGCAATTACAAAAAAAAAAGAATAAATCAAAAAAGAAAGGAAAAATAAATAGGGTTCGACGATCCTCCAAGAAAGCAAACGAGTTGCAATCCGCAGGTCATGGATAAATAAATCCAACAGTACAAAGCCTTAATCGCCCAAATTCATTTTATGATTGAAGCCCAAATTCAACACATTGTAAATTTAAAACATATAAATACAAAACAACAACATGAAGCCTTTATCACACTAAGTGGGATCGGCTGCATGAATCTTTTTTCTACATTGCGTCCTATTGAGTGTCATATTTTCATTTAATTCTAATAGATTAAAATCATTTTTATACAATATGCTCAAATCTTTTTAAATCTACCCGTCTTTCTTAACATAAGTCAAATCAAATCATCTACTCTCCTATCATCAGATGATCGATGTTTAATGTGCCCAAACCATCTAAGACGGCTCTCTCTAATCTTGTCCACCACTGGAAATAGACCAGCGATATCATGAATATATTCATTTCACATTTTGTCTCTAAGTGTCAAACCACTGATCCACCTAAGAATTCTCATCTCAACAACACTTTACTTTTTTTTTATGCTTCTCTTTTAAAGGCCAACATTTTGCGACATGGAGCATTGCAGGTCTCACCACCATCTTATAAAATTTTCCTTTTAGTCTGCGCGGTACTTTTCTATTACACAATAGGCTCGATGCATTCCTCCGCTTCAACCAACCAACTTGAATTTTATTAATAACATCTCGATCTATATCACAATAAATTTGAACAATAGACCAGATATATCTAAAACATTCACACCTTTTAATGATTTGGTCACCCATAGTTACAAGTCTATCAGTAGAGCTACCACTACTAAAATTAAAGCATATAAATATGATAAAATAAATATAATATATATATATAGTCATATATTATGTATAACAACATCAATCATAGTTTGTACAATGTAATTATTGAAATATATGCTTGTATATGTAGGTCTTTGAATGTGTGGTTTTGCACATGTCGATGCATATGCATTGAAACAAAAAAAAAAGCACAAACATGGTACATGGGGGGCAATTTTACTAGAGTACTTACACTATCGCACAATCACACAATTAAAGCAAGAAGTTGGAGTTCCTTAATGGCCAACCAAAAGCTTGTTCACAAGTGGCTTTGCCGCAAAATGGTCAACCAATAGATACAAACTCAATTTCTTATAGGCCAACTCTAAAGAATCAATGAGGCAACAAATAAAGTTGAACAAGGCGGGTTTTTCAGGTATTTCTAGGCACATTCTCTTTTAAAACCCAACTTTCATTAATTGTTTCTACTAATTAGTTTAAAATATAATAAAGATAAAGATGCATCATCCTTAATTGGGACTAAATTACTTTATAAATAGGGCCTTACGTGTATTGACCTCCATTAATGATTCAGTGGAATTAACCACTTGAAACATACTTAGTTTCTCATAGGCCAAAGCCAAAAAGTCAAGCCAAGCAAGAAAAACAGAACTAAATTGGCTTCCAATTCTTTTTTCATTATCATTTATGACCAAAATTTATTATTTATTTTAAATTTCAAATTATATTAAAATGCATATGGATAAGAATGCCCCATCTGAAATTGAAAATGAGCCACTTATGCCTATGCGCTTTTATTATTGATTTGGTCATTAAAGTTATGAAGAGTTCTCCCAACCCTTACTTTTGGTTTTCTAGTTTTTTTCATCGAGAATTGGGCAACTCTATGTCTTGAGGATTCAACATCACCAACTTAACGATTCACTATTTTGTATATTTTAATTATTTTTTCTTTCAGTTTTCATATTGATTTCATATATCTATTGTATACTACATCCATTAGGAATTAAAGCAAATTTCTAGTTGTTTTACTCTCACTTTCATCAATTTCTTGCTTTTCTAGCCTTAGTTTCATTAATTTTTTATAGTTTTCACTTGCTTTCATCAATTTTCTGAGCTTTTTTTGTTTCTCACGCCACACTTTCTTTTCTCACAAGCTGTCTCTCTGACATGCGCTCTTCCCCCTTTTCATATGCATAAAAATGGTAATTGTATTTTTCCGTACTTCAACTCTCCTTTCCAGTCTTTTATCTCCTCTCAGTAGCCTTTTTCTCTCTCCTTCATTGAATATAAGAAAATTTGAGAAAATAATCATTAATGTTTCCATCCAATTCCTTTCTCCACAGCTCCACCCCTCTTGTTCTCTCTAAAAATTCATTTCCTAAATTCCCTCAACTATTCATTACATATTTCGACAATCATTTAAAAAATACAAATCTGAATTTGGATGAATATGTGCCTAATCTCTCCACAGAAATTAACTTCAAAAATCCTAATGCTAAAAGTAATCAATCCACCGGTATTGAGATGTTTTCATTGGTGTCAAGGAAAAGATAATACGGTCTCCAAATTTCTCATAAAATTATAACACTCGATAAAAATATAATGAATTTTCAATTTCTTTTGATGCAAGTATTAAATAATTTGAAGATAATGATTCCCTTTTGAATGATGATTTGAATACATTTACATAAAATAATAAATTTGCATCACATGCCTATCATATATTCTTACAGATGAATCCAAATTTGCATATATGAAATTGAAATTGAAACTTGTACTTATAGAACTTGATTCAAAGCCATTCACTGATTCACTCCTTTATGATCAAGCCATTAGGAACCCAACGCAATTGTATTTTTAAGGCATGTATTATATGGATCTGTTGCATTAAGTGTTAATGATGCATTAACTATATATTAGATTTCAAAAGAATTTTGTTATAAATGATGGAGTGTATATATTCATCATACAAGCTCATTTTGGTGTTCTGAATGTTTTCATAAAGGTTTGTGATTTAGCTATGTACACAATCTTTTTGACTTCACTTACAGGAACCATAAAGCCTATTTATATCGATAATCAACAAGGATTTATTATATGTTTTACCTTTGTATCATGAGCATTGATCCCCTTTTTAATGATACAACTTCAGTAGTCATTAAATGATTCTTCTTACAGGATGCAATGCTAGTCATTTGATGATTCTTATGATAGAATGCAATATGTTAGTCATTAGAAATTTTGGAAAGAATCCATCACTTCTATTCTTTAGAAGAAAGTTCTTCCCAACCAAGGGGGAACTGATATGGTATCATCAACCAAATGGTTTAGATATATCCAATTTCTCAGCAGTCAACTTTAAGGAGTCAACCCAAGCAAAAAATAAAAATTTGAAAATCACCAATTTTCATGTCTTCCTAGTATGTTATCATTTATGGCTGAATTTTTATTTTTGTTTAATTTTTAATTACTTTGAGATGTCATAAGGATCAGGATACCCCAACCTTAATTAGGATTTAGTTTCATTATAAACAAGATCTCATGTATATGGACTTTTTTCGTTGATTTGATTTTTAAAGTTTTGAAGATTTTCTACAATTTTTGCTTTAGTTTGTAATTTCATTAGACATAATATTTGCTGTTGTCAATTTCTCCTATTTACTGGCAACAAAACATACGCTCAGATGATCCACAAGAAAAAAAAACATCCTAGATCATCATTAGCTAGCCATGGCATAACCAAAGAGCATGATAATAGATAATAAGAGAGCTAAAAGCCAAATATAGTAAACAGCACGATCAAAAACAATAACGTCGGACAAAGAAGCAGAATAGATAATAATTTTCATATAAGATTGACTATCATTTATTAGTTGCACTTGCATACTCGACCAACATAACAAAGTACAAAGAATGTAACGAAGAAAATTCAGAATGCAGGCGCTATTATAATATGAATCAACTGAAGGTTACACGCTTCATACTCAAGTGTCCTCGCTCGCACAAAAAATTTCAGGCACCTTTCTAACATGACCACTCCCGAGAAAGAAACCCTAACTTGACCAAGTTACAACAGGAAATCGAAGCCCCGACTTGGAACTCCTCAAACGCGGCCTAATTCATACACGCGCAAAGGAAATCTTTTTTGAGGATTGAAGCATCAGAACTGGAGGCTCGAACGAGATCAAAATTTTAATAGGACTAGACAATAGGATCCAATCCAACCTTGGAATAGTGAAGGACAAAAGACTAAACCAAACCACGAAATTCATTCAATAACTCCCTAAATTCAGTATGAGACTAGATTAATAGCAAGAACAGAAGACAAATCCCCTAGAAACAGAGGGACGGAGAAGAAGGGGGATTACCATCGATCGAGAGAGAATTCACTGGAGGATTAACAATAGTGATGACAGCCACGCCGTCAGCACCCACCTCAATCGTTGTCGACCCTTTCGCCATTATTCTTGCTCTGTCTCTCCTTTCTTCAAGCTCGATGGAAATGATCAAAGGAAGGAATGCTATTTAATAGTATCAGACCACAGAAGAGCTGGAGCTGGTAGCGTGAGTCGTGACGGTATGGGCAAATGTCGCCGGACGAATTGATAACAATGAATTCTGAACTTAAAACTGAAGGTGAGGTGCCCCATGTTAGGGACAAAAATTCCACGTTGGTTGGGTGTCCCAAAAAAATGGCATTTAGGTCCTGCGTTGCTCGTCACCTAAGCTCTTTTTTTGGGAGGTGTTATCACAGCGATTACTGTATGTTCAGGTGTATGGACTTTTCATAATCTAGTGGTACTTTCGGTGGAGTCAATTCGTGATCAAGGCGTCACGTGATTGGGTGGAGCAGAATGTCACGGATCAAAAGTCTCAAATCGGCTAGGTGTAGGGCCGAAAAACAGTGTCTGGGCTGCCCACCACCCCTAAGAGCTTTTTTGGAAGATGACACCAATCTCTCTCACTTATGTCATTGGGGGGCCAAATTATAAGAATCTCCTTAATTTTGGAAGTATAAGGGAGGAGCATTATAAAAGGAAATTATCTTATGCCTGAAATATTACAAAAAATAATTCAAAATATACAATATATAATATTATATATAATTTAAATATTAATATATATTACCTAATATTATAAATAAATTATAAAATTATATTGCATTAATTAACATTTAAATAACAAAAAATTAAGAAAAAATTATATATGAACAAAATAAATTAACTAACAATAAATCAAATTCATTAAATTTATTTCACATTAAAATATAATCGTAACATCATATTTACAAATAATATTATCTTCTTTGATGGTGGAAGAACATCTGATTCCAAAGTATATCGAGATGACGGTCGTAGTGTTCATTATCGCAGACGTGTGCACCTAGCCAACTTCTATTTTTATTGTACTATTAAATATCTTGATTATTCCACATCTCGATATACTTACGATTATTTCATATATTGATATACTTACGACGATAAAACAGTGTTTGTGTTTATATCTATATTTGATGTAGGCATAAGTTTCTGTGCATCTCTAATTTATACAACAAAAATTCTTATAAACAAAGAAAATTGTTGGATGTCACAGTAAGCTACGAATGATAAAGCTGAAAACGATAATTTTGAATTAAAATTTCAAATCAATAGTTGCAACATCGAACACTACAACCGTCCTCTCGGCATACGATGGTCTCATAAATCACTTCACTCTATCATAGAAAATAATATTATTTTATAAACATGATGTTATAATGATATTTTGATGTGAAATTAATTTTATGAATTTGTTGTATTGTTAGTTAATTTATTTTGTTCATATGTACTTTTTGATTAATTTGATATTATTTAAATGTTAATTAATGTAATATAGAATTATAACTTATTTATAATATTTGGTAATATATTAATATTTAAAATGTATATAGTATTATATATTATATATCATGAATTATTTTATGTAATATTTTAATGAAAATGCTGCCAAGGGGGTGCGTTTCATGCATAAAATGATTTCCCACATGAACACCCCCAATAGGGCATTTAAGCTCCCTTTTATTTTATTTTATTTTTCCTCATGCCCCTCCCTATATTTCATCAATTAAGGAGATACTTCTTATGATTTGGCCTTTTTGGGGAGTCTCTAGGCCTCTTTGGGGAGTCTCTAGGTCTTGTCCAAGGTTACACCAAGGGCCACAAGGATATTTTTAAAATTATGGATGAAGGATTTTGTTTTATAATATACCATTATCCCTACGAATTATGCAAGCATTTTTGTTTGGAATGCCTTTTGGGCACATTTCTCCAATTTTAAGCATTATATGGCATATATCATCTAATTTTCCAATTTCAATTTAATGAAATAATAATTTAGTTAAGATATATTAATTCAACCTGTTTCATAAAGCTCGTGTCTATTACTCAAAGAGTTATAATACATTATTCCTTCGTAATCTTAGAAATATTAATATGTTATCTATTAAGATGAGTAAATATATTAGTGTAATGACACTGTCACGTAAGGCCTTTAAGATGATTAACCTGCTAGAAAACATGAGTCATTATCCTATTGTAATTTAAGTTTGGGAGATTGTGAAATAGTTATAAGATGAATATTATCACAAGAGCTATAAAACAGTAGACTATAACTTTTATATAGATGAATATAATCATGATAACTGTGACAAAAAAATAAAAAAATTTGCACAATTTAATATAACTCTAATATTTATAACACAACATTGTTAAGTTATTCCTCCCATATCTTAGAGGAGTGTTCCAATGCTTAATATTAATAAAGTTAGCCTCGTCGTAAATCAAGTTATGTATATATTGTTATAAAATGTCCAATCTATCTTGATGGAAATGCTTGGGGCTTCATAAAATATATTCTTAAGGATAATTAGGATAAAAAATATTCTCATAAGGTAATAAGAAATGTAAGTTTAATTTTGTAATTATGAGTATGAACTATCAAGTTTTAATTTGATGGAGTTCAAAATTATTCTAACAAAATTGCCTACCAAACCTTCTTCATTGAAGGGTTCAATTTTGCATTGACTTTTAATAACACATTCAAATAATGACCAATATAATATAAAAAAGTGGCAACTATGTCTTCGTCTTTGGTACTAATACAATAATACTATTAAAAACTGTCTAATTTATTTCTCCATCACACTCTTGAATATTTGCATGCTTAAAAAATTTATAAATGAGTTTACTCCAAATGAAGTGCAAAAGAAGACAAATACAATTTGAAACAAAATTATATTTTGCTCAACATGGAATGAATTATGATAAAAAATCCACTAAGCTTGTTAACATTTATTAAATCGCCATTTTAATATTCAAACAAGTTTTGCTTGAGTTATCTAATAGTTAAAAAGATCATTAGAAGCAAAATTTGCAATTCACGCATGATAAACAAGTCCTTAACTATTTCTTTTATAAACCCCTTACCCCTACATATCCTCCGCCACCATTAGCATTGACTAAACAAAGTCTAGCATGACACTATCACAACTAATTTTTTAGCTAATATCCACTCATATCACAAACGTGCATTTGCCTTTTAGGCAGCCTTCCCAACCTGATAATACCAACTTCTTATATCTAAATCATTTGAATCAAATCCCAACCCTTAAATCCTTAAAATCCTTAGAAGAACTCTCAAGGAAACTATCTACGATAGAAGGCACATCACACTCAACTAAAGAATCACGAGTAAACCAATCAAACTCCAGAAATATAAAATCCTTAAGTAAAATGAAGTTAAACCCTTAAGCATCGAGGAGCCTTTTGGTGTGACAATGAAATTTCATTAGAAACTCCAATGTTAAGTGTGCTCATTTTGTAGCACTCCTAGAATGGGTGGCCTCCTTGGAAATTACATGAAGGGGCAAAATGGTGAGGCAACTAGGTCAAAACATACAATACCTTGATGAGTGAGTGTTAGGGATATCATAAATGGCATTAAGGCATTACATCGCCTTGAAAATGGGAACTAAGTGGCATACAAAATAAAGTGATACGCCTGGGGAGAAACAAAACTCTTGAACCTACGATGGGATAAAGTGCTACATGGTCGGAGCCACCAATTGAATTTGTAGGGGCCAACTTTATAGGTAGAAGATTCTAGGTATAGAGCATTGACTCGAACGTCAACCACTTAAGTGGGGGATATTATAAAGCCCCTTGAGTAAAATGAAGTTGAACTTTAAACATTGAGGCATCTTTTGGTGCAACGGTGGAATTTCATTAGAAACGTTAATGTTAAGTGTGCTCATCCTAGAACAATCCTAGGATGGTGACCTTCTGGGAAGTTACACCAACGGAGCAAAAATGTGTTGCCACTAGGCCAAAGCTGACAATATTTTAATGAGTGAGAGTTCGAGTTGTCATAAGAAAAGTAAGAACTAAAAACTTGACAAACTCATCCAATCGCATATGATGATCTTCTTGATTATATGATGCCTAAAAATAAAAATTCATGTTTTACAATATATCTTTTTTTGCATTCTAAAAAATAAAATCAATCACTCATCCTTAATTGATGCAACCTGTAATGTTTCGTATCCACTTTTTACTTCTTAAAGTAGCTGTAAAAATGTTCATCTTGCTAATTGAGACCACATTAGGGTGAAATAGAATAACCCCAACGTATAGTTTCCCCCTTTATTAATGGACTCTCAATATGTTCATGGCATTTATATGGGCTCTTTTATTACCTACCTTATTGTTGTTCATGTGACTAATTCTAATGTAGATAACATGAAGTTATGACAGTTTGTTTTTACTATGGGAAGTATCATCGTTAGTACATGGATTAAAATGAGATATTTTAATTGTTATAGATTTTAGCTTGAAAAAGTAGGCAGTAACCCCATTCACGACCACATGCTTTCAGGTGTCAACCATCTATCTTTCAAATTGGGCTAATAGATTTTCCTTCATTTAGTCTCAACTTCTTTTGGTTAAATTATAGAGTTGAGAACCCTATTATTATTAAGCAAGGAGTTTTGGTTGGAATCATTTTCACTTTTCTTCTCAATCAAATGCACACTTTTGTATTGAACTTAAATATGACATTCAAATAATGATCAATAAACGATAAAGTGGTGATAGTTATGTCTTTGCCTCAAAAACTATTATAATAATATCATTAGCTTTAAATTGTTTAATTTATTTCTCCATTGCACTCTTGAAAATCTACTTCAAAAAATAACTCCAATAAGTTTACTCTAAAAGAAAAGTAAAAGAAAAAAAATTGAATACTATTTGAAATAAGATTTAATTTTGCTCAACATAGCTTGAGTTTACTCCACTAACCTTGTTAGCATTTATAAGATCATTATTTCGATATTAAAAAAAGGTTTAATTAAGTTGAACTTAGTAATATATTATCTAATTTTCTTCTAGGTTTGTGATTTAAATCATTATTTCAATATTCTTTTCGTCGCTAAGAATTGTCTCCATGCTATTGCATAGCTTCGCTGAGTCGTAGCGGCGCCACTGAGTCACCACCAATTGTAGCTAAGATCCTAGCTGTCATCGAGGGAAACCAGTGTGGAGTTCTAGCAGTCAGCAGAGAACCAGTGAGAAAGGAAG